CAATTTCACCTTTGCCATTTGTTGAATTGGTAATCACCCAAGGAGACAAAGGCCCCGTCAACATAGAGTTAGTATTGTAAAATTTGATTATAATGTTTGATTTTTTTTTTTTTTCATATTAATAACATTCAAATTTTTCATGTGTACAGAGACGTTGACACAGCTTTCTATGTATGCCAAGCAGTATTGTACGAGTATGGAACTGATAAAGAGGCAACATTGGTTGTGCATCCAGCCTCTCAAGCCAGTTTACCTTCACTAGTTAGCGCTACAGCCAACTTGGTTGGCACTCCTATAGCGCAAGCAAGAGTCTTGCGTGATGTAGATAATAAACCAGGAATTTGGTTTATTTATCGAGATTTAAGTGTTCGGACAGATGGAATGTTTTATTTAAAATTCCAACTTTTTTATATTGGATTGTAAGTATATATATACATACATACATATATATATCTATTATAACATTCAATCGATTAATTAAATAAATAATCAATTGTTTTTATCAATCAATAGTCGAGGCAAAATTAACACAACAGATAATCAATCCAGAATACTTGCCACTGCAAATTCAAAACCTTTTACTGTGTATACTGCTAAAAAATTCCCAGGGATGGTTGGTAAGTAACTATTTTATAATTTTATAATTTTTATTATTTAAATTTATAATTTTTATTATTTGAATTTATACATAATCAATCAATTATTTATAATTTGTTTAGAAATAACACCGTTAACAAAAGCTTTCATCGAACAAGGTTCAAAAATTCCTTCACGAAGGGATTTAAAGAGAACAAGGAATTCATAAATTCATAATTAAAAAAATTAAAGAAAACAAAGAATTTATAATTAAAAAAATTAAAAAGATTAAAATTTTATAATTAAAAAAAAAAAAAATGATTAAAATTCATAATTAAAAAAAAAAAATTAAAAAGATAATTAAAAAAAAATATTTCATAATATATAATTTATAATTTATGTCTATACATTTTCTAAGTTTTTTTGGTCGTTAATAAGATTTTTTTTTTTTTTTACAAAGTAAATATGTCAATAATATCAAACCAACCAACTAATCTACCAAACAACCAACCAACAAATTAATATTCAACTTGTAGTTTAAGATTTTTAAGATTTTTTGTTTTTTTTTTTTTTTTTTTCATAAATTAAAACTTTTGTAACAATAATTATTAAATTAATATGAAGATGATTTCAATAAAATAAATTTTCTTTTTCATAATCTATTCTTATTCTTCTTCTTCTTCTTCTTTATCATTTAATTTCTTATAATAGTGTATAAAGAGATACCCAATCCCAATCGGACATATAATTTTAATTAACAATAATTACCAATAGGAAAAATATTTTTGTTTAACGTTCCTTTGAATTTAATTTCGGAGTTTTTTTCCATTGTTATCAACTAACGCACGCACTTTATTACGATAGAAATAATGAATGATGATGTTGATGATAATAATCAATTAAATTTAGATATGCACATATCATTAAACAATAAGGGTTCGGCCGACTGTCCTGGAAAATTCTTCTCACAAAAAAAAAATAATATAAAACGACCGTTTATAATTTACATAGAGTCCAAATCTGAAAACAATGGACATTGCAGATCTTTGATAAGCGCCTTATTTATCGGCTTTGGTCGTACAAATCAGATCGGCTATTGTCATGAATTGTATAATATATAGGTGTTCATTCATTCATGTAATCGACACACATGTAGATAAACCCAGAACTTGTTATTTTTTGGGGTAAATCATGGAATCTTAGATGCATTTTTTTTTTTTAATAAATTTTGTTTTTCTAAACGGCGTTTCGATTCACATCTATCTGGAAAACTAGGTTTTATTTATTATATCAATAAATAATAAATCAATAAATAATAAATCGATTAATAATAAAATCAATTAATAATAATAATAATAAAATAAATTAATTAGTTAATTAATGAATAAAAAAAGTAAATAAATGAATGAATAATCTTTGATTCTATCATACATTCAAAGAAAGTTTGGAGTATTGATTGCGATTATTTAATTTGCATATGTGATTTCTTGTGACTTTTGTGGAAATTACATGACCTTTATGATATTTTGCTTAATTAAATGCATAATGTTAATATACGGAGTGGGCAATTCAAACACATACAATAATGGATCAATGTTCCCGTGCACGCGTATTTAATGATGATAAGGTTACAATCAATAGTTTGTACCAATTAAACAATCAATTTGTTTTTTTTCTCTTGTTTCTCTTGTTTCTCTTGTTTGCAAATAAATTCCATTGGGATTAACATCGCCGTATGATTAGTTGGCGAACCATTCACATTCAATTCTCACAACACCACCATTCATTAGTTCAATAAACTTTTAAGGCGAACAGATCTTTTGAAAACTTTATTACCAATACGGATATCGGGAGTATTAGAAAATGGAAGACAGCGCACCAATTACTTATTAATACTTGTAAATAGTTTACTTTTTTACGCGCTTTACTACAAATACGGATAAAAAAGAGAATCAACCATTTATTATTCATTTTGTCTATTTGAATGTGTGAATGAATGAATGGATGGATAAATTGATAAATTGATAAATTGATAAATGAATGAACGAATAAATGGACGAATGGATCTGTCAAATAAATAAACAAATGACATTTACTCCACATGAACTGACATTTGTGACATAAACCTGCATCAAGGAAAAACTGTGCTTTCGATAAATTTCTCGTATTGAATCCTTTCGGGGATGATAAAGAAATTTAATCAAAGATCGGTGATGTCTATTCGTTCATAGTTTTTGTTGTTTGTAATGTTTTGGTTTTTTTTATTTTCAATTCTTAAAATCTTGTGCAATTGGTGATGTGTCAAAATATCATCCAGTCGCTTATTAATCTTCTGTAGAGTTGTATACATCAAATTGTACTCGCAATTAGAATTGTAACTATAATATCTAATTCATGTTCTAAATTTATAAATATTTTTTATAGAAACGTCCCGGGTGTAGCTGTAACCTGTATGAAACATATACAAGGGGGAGTTTAAAACGATTCGCTGTTATGTCATGTGATCGATTTTTATTGGTTGATTTTTTTATTTTTGGCAGTTGATCATTACCTTTTGTTAAATTGAATCTAAAAAAATAGTGTCACGAATGTAAGTATCCAACACCGAATAACTAAAATAACTAAGATTCTTTTAAATCTTTAGACATCTGTTTTCGGTATAAATGTTTTTCCACTTTAAATTCTTTCAATAAAAAAAATTCATTATAAATAAAGGTGAATTCGCCTCAACAAAAAATCCAGAATTCTTTCATAGTTGTTAATTTTTATAAGCTTCAATATATATTTATAAAATCTTTTTATATTCGCGGATATTTTTTATTTTTTATAATTATTATTTTTTTTTAGACTTATATTTAAAAAAATGCCTCCCCAAAAAAAAGAAAAAAAAAGTATCAAAAAATACATTTTCCCCCAAACTATTAACATAAACCACGATGATCATGATCAGATCATTGATCAATTGATCAATAAGCATTTAAATTCAATGACGACTTTCGTTGAAAACAGAGTATGTACCTACTTGTCAATAAAGGATCTTCTTGCTCCAAAAAGAAATGCTAATAAAATCGGTAGACCTCAAAACGAATTTATTCTATATCGAAAAGAGATCCTCGCGGAACTCAAAAATAACAACGAAAAACACACCCTAAGAGAAGTTTCCCAAATCGCATCATTGAGATGGAAATCTGAATCTACTGAGCGGAGAAATTTTTTCATTATCTTGTCGAAAGTTGGATTTTTGGTATATAGAGATTTGTACGAGCATTATTGTAAAAATGATAATGCTAATGCTAATGCTAACAATAGCACCGACAATGAGAATCAAACAATCACTTACGACAGCGTTAACGATATCAATTGTATTAATTACAATTGTGATGGTGAATCAGACTCATCAACCGAACAACCTAAATATTCAGTATTCACCCCCAACTTTGAAGTCTTGGTCGAAAGAGAGACTTCCTTATTGGGGTTTTCAATTCCAGCAGCAACAGAAGCAGAAGCAGCATTGTCGGCCGTAGTATCATCGTTATCGTCATCATCATCATCATCATCATCCACTTCTCCATCTTCTTCTCCTAGTTCAAATACCTCGTCACCCCCATGGTCTGGCTCCGCTTCGATGCCACAAATGCTTCTTGTACCATCTTATCCGGAGATGGTTGAATCTCCCTCTAAAAGATTATTGTCTCTTCGTACGCCTCCAAGTAATAACGATAATATCAATTACAAAAACTACAATTACTACAACAACTACAAACGCTACAACAACTACAAATACTACACCCGTAGCTGCTACAACAATAATAAGAACGACAACAGAAACAATAACAATAACAATAACAATAACAATAACAATAACAATAACAATAACAACGACAACAAAAATAACTACAACGACAACAACAACAACAACAACTACAACAGCGACAACAACTACAACTACAACTACAACTACAACTACTACAATAACAGCAACAATGACGACGACGACAACAACAACAACTACTACAACAACTACTACTACAATAGCAACAACGACGACAACAACAATTACAACAACTACTACTGCAACAGCAACAACGACGACGACAACAACAACGACGACAACAACAACGACGACAACAACGGCCACGACGGCAACGACAACGACGGAAATGGCAGTGACGGCAACGGCAGCGACGGCAACGACAACGACGGCAACGGCAACAACTATAACAATAATAATATTGCAATCAACTCTCTCGATTTGTTTAATCTTAATGTTGACCCATACAATTATGGTCAGCAATACCACCAACAAAACTTTTGTCAATCATTAATCGACATTGACAATAATGTTGGTGACGTCGACCCTGACTTAGAATTAGCAACTATTTTACATCAATTAAGAGTTGACAACGCAACCGCAACAAACGACTCTAATGTGCTTGATCAACCAAGCATCGATAATTTCGTCACTTCCAATCCGATTTCTATTGCCTCCACAATTATGGATACAACAACCACTGATAATTACCATTACCTTAATCCACAACACCCATATTATCCCTATTATCCCCAACACGACCAATTTTCCGCAAATTCCACAGCACTTAATATCGAAAATGTTAATTTTGATTTCGATGAGATGCCAAAGTTTGATGAAGAAAAGGGATATTGTTATCACGATGATTATTTTGTTGATAAAAATCGACATGAATAACGTTTAATTATTTTTTTTTTCTTCTAAATTTTTATTTCGTTTTTTTTTTTTTTCAAGCAATGAATTTATATAATAATAACGACAATAATAACGATAATAATAACGATAATAATAATAATAATAATAATAATATAATTTTTTTCCTTTATAAATATGATTTCATTAAGATTTATGTTTCCATTAAGCATTAAGGTTATATAAATAAGATTTTTTTTAATTAAACCATAAATATGTTATGATTTTTTATTTTTTTTATAAATAATCGTGTAATTAAAAATAATCGTATAATTTTATTTTTTAAAAAATGACCATGTAATTTTATTTTATCAATAAAAATTACGTCGGCAAATCTGAATTTCTTTTGAACGTTAGAGCTGGACGAAATTATTTTGTCTTTTGGGGTTCTTGCAATAGCAGTCATAGTAATAACGATAGTAGCAGTAATAGTAATAGTTGGTAGTACTTTAATTTCTCACAAAGCACAAGATTTGCATTCAATTAAGTTTTGCTTAATTGGTAGT